TCAAAGTAGACCTTGGCACAGCGAGGTCAAGTGGGCAGCCGTCCTGCATCGTGTCGACGCATGAGCTCTGCTGGACCCAAGCTGCTGCCCGGCAAATACATTTCTCACATGCAGTAAGCAGAGGCAAAGCTCTTGAAATCTACCGCAAAGAGGCTCAGGTCTCGCGTACAGCCAAGGAGAAGAAGACCCTTTAGCTTCACAAAACTGTAGGCAAATGTAGATCCAGGCAAGTGGCACCACGGCGACCCTGGCTGGGACAGCCTCAAGCTGCTGGCGCGAACGCAAGCATGATCGCCGCGTGAGGGTACTTTGTTCTTCTTGAGTGCTGGTGACACTGACCGCAAACAGTGCCAGTTGTCTCAACAGACGCCGGAGACTGCAGAACCTGGCTTTGGAGATAAAGGCAAGCGATCCAGGTTTTTGGTGCGTCCGGCAGTCACTGCAGTTGCGACGAGAGGGGCCGAGTCCATCATCCCATCCAAGTCTCTGGTGCGCCGAGGCATCCGTAGGTGAAGCGTTTGGATTCGGCCTGACGCGAGCATCGAGCACTGCGGGGGCACATGGTCGTGGACTTCAAAATGTGGCAGGTTAAGCTGCTGGGTGGCAACTGTACAGGCGGCATCTGTTCGGGTGCTGTTTCAAACGCTTGCCGGGTCGACAATATCGCCGCGAAATGCAGACGATTTCTGCCGAATGCCTTTAAGTCCATGTGCCTTTGCTGATTGTCTGCGGCAGCAAATTTCTTGGCAAAATAAATCACCGGCCGTATTTTCCCGAGCCACTGGCCAAAGGTGGAAGGGAAACGCGGGAGAGCACGTTCCAAGGCCGCACTGCTTCAGGAGATGCTCGGTGCCTGTTGCGAAGCCAAGTTTAGGGGTCAGCCACCCGCAGCTTCCAAGCATGCATTGTGCATGGGCGGTCATCAGTTTGGGCTTTGCCGCTATAACCTCGACCTTGTATGGAATGAGTGATGGCTGAACTTGCTCTGAATCCAAGAAGATGTTATTCTCGACCCCATGTAGGCCATTTACGGTGTAGTTGGGGAAGCCTAGACCCTGGAAGATGTCGGTCTGAAAGCCATCTGGGGCTTGTAGATGAGGGGCTTGGACATTGAGGTTACGGCTTGTTGCTTGGGGGGCTTGGGACGCATACAAGGGCCAACATCCGTAAACTTTCAAGCTCCGGAACCTTTGCAGCAGGTATCTGCACCATGCATCAAGGTCGAGATTGCTTTCTTGAGGCGACAAGAATGATAAATCTTCAGCATTGTTGGCAGGTCACAAGTAGGACGATAGTGTCTAAGCTGTAGCAGCACTCCGGTGGCATCTGGCAGAATCCACCCTTGAAGACAACGTAGACCTGGGGTCCCTCAGGCGGACCTGCTTCTGAAATTCGGTACGCCCCTGGAAAACAGCGTGCCTGAGTGAAAGCACCTAGAGCCGCCCAAAAACTCCAGGCACGCAATGACCATAGGCTTCAGTATCGGCTTTGCACACTGCCTCTTCGTCTGAAACCTGCAGTGCTGCCCCTGCCATGTGCGCTCACTTAGGCAGACCGCAGCCGAACGCCACTCCCTGATAAGACCGCAGAAGGTTGCGTCAACGGGCCAGCAGCTTGAGCAGGCCCGCAGCCGGAGGCAGCTGAAACTTGGATTTCTCACCTCGGTCGGCACGTGCAGCTTTGGGGCTCGACAGGATGCGAAAGCTGCATCGCAAGAGATGCAAGATTATTGCTGGGAGATACTGCGAGCTGGCCTCGACTGGAAGTGCAAACGAAGCACAGATTCTATTGCAGCGACAGGTTTTGGGCCAGTCAGGTACGCTCGGGCATGCTAGGAGGAAGGAGCGGCAGGCTAAGGCGACGTGGAGATGGTGCTCACCGTCACGTCGTCACCCATTGCATGCAAGATTGTATGAGCCACCGGTCTAGGCCGGAGATGCTCATAGCGCTGCGACCGGAAGGATGCCCGCAACAGAAGACAAACTATTACTATTACTGTAAGCTGTTCGCTGGAAGTGCAGGCGCACTACACCTTCCAGTGCAGCGACGAGTTTTAAGCCAGGCAGAAAGGCCGGGACAAGCTAGGAGCGGCACTCTCTGACGCTGCTTGGTTCACTGGCATTGACCCGAACCTGAAGCGAAGTCGGGCCACTCGTGCTGCACTTCGTCAGCAAACTCGGTTAGGGCCGCTGAAAGCCTCAGGCAAGTGAGCGGCTACCCAACACAAATTACTGCAAGAAGGTCTGCCAGAGAGAAGCGAACGAAAGCTTCATGGGAGTTCCAGAGGCCGTGGCCTTGCTAGCACCAGGATGGCACACCTCAAGACAAACTGGCTGGCTGGTACGAGTTTTGACAAGCTTCGAGCGACAATGCGGCAAGGAGGACTCCCGAAGGGGCAGTCTTATCAAATGGAACCCACAGGCCGCATGTCCGCATGTACGACGCAGATCAGAAAAGATGGGACCATCATGAGAAGAAATGGTGGAGACTGTGAAGCACACGCTTTGCAGGCCTGGTGCAAGCAAATGCGGCGCATGCAGCAGGGAGGTCCTACGCTTATGATTCGTAAACCGAAGACAACTTGCATGAGTGAGACGACTGCACACCTACGGGGTCGGTCTGACGCCATCGGGACTTCATTCGCTGTTTCATCACCAGGCTCGAATTTAGCAGAAACATTCAGGGAGCTGCCAAGGATGCGCACAATGTAAACTCGGAGTCGCTCCAGCTGTCGCCGCCACAAGGGCGAAGTCTATCAGGTCTGATGCGCATGTACAAGTCTTGATCCTAAGGCACGTATATCTGCATTTCTCACATGACATCTTTCGGAACAGGCACAATGAACTCGGCTCAATCGCAGCACGAGACGCTGATTCTGGTGGCTTGGCGGTACTGTGAATCACAAGAGCGCCGACGACAGCACCAGCCCGGAGCCCAAGACGGAAAGAAGCATGCACTACATCAAGCGTGACAAGCCTGCAGCAGCTAGCCAGCGTCGTGAGCGGAAGTGGGTTGCGTGTTTGCCTTTACGTTGTTCTGCTTGCAAAGACTTGTTGCTCTAAAACGGAGGTGCAGCTTTGGGGGATTCGTGTCCGAAGCCGACCTTGTGCCGAAAGGATCTCCTACCGAAAAAACGTGGAAAAAGCAGCACTCTGCCCGCTTTCCGATGTTGAACATGGCAAACGCGAAACTTCTTGTCACTGTCCGGACTGTGCATGGCCCTCACCAGCCTCGAATTGTTTTCGAGTTTCCGAGCACATCAGCCCAGCATCCTCAAGGTGCAGGGATGTCATTCCCAACAAGCAGAAGGGAGAACCACAAACCGCACTCAAACCACGGGTGATAAGGGAGGAATGACAGGTCTGCGGCGTGGCCGAATGTCCACGAGACCAACATAAAAGCAACAACCGAAGAGTATGTAGCCATTCTCTAGATATTTCATTTTTGATGACCCGGGTGATGGAAAGGATGGGGGAGAGTCCAGCCATTTTGGTAGCAGGTTGAGCATCAAACTTCTGCAACCGCACGGAATGCAACCCAAACTTACAGGCCGTATCAATGACACTGTCACGAATCTCATAATGACACCACTGCTACTTGAGTGGGCGTGAATCATGTGATCTGAAGACTGCGTAAGGCGGTGGCCGTCGAGGGGCCACGGTTGCTGTGGAGGTTTCGGGGCACTCTCCTGCTGCCCGTGCCAGAGCAGCTTCGTTCTCCAGCATGCATCCAGGCGGCAGATCTGCAGTTCTCACATCTGTCGAAAGATTGACTCTGTCAACAAGTCTGATTTCGGCCTTGCCACAGCAGCAGAGCATGGTCTGCGCAATGAACCCGGCTCAATCGCAGCACGAGACGCTGATTCTGGTGGCTTGGTGGCACTGCGAATCACCAGAGCACCGACGACAGCACCAGCCCGGAGCCCAACCGCAGGCTAGCTACTGATGCTTCGCCCGTCTGCCTTGTGCAAGCTGGGTGTTCACTGGCTCCATGCACGAAGAGCTGCCCACTCATCTTGATCAAGGGTCGATTGAGACGGCATGTGACGACAGCAGCATCACTCAGAAGACGTGGTTCGAGGAGCTCTGTGGCATATCCAAGAGCATGCTGAGCTGATCTCGGCGAACCTGCGATGCAACTGCAGAGCTTGAACTCGGCTGCAGAATGATTAATTGCCTGACAGCGTAGCCCTCCGAGACTTTCTCCACATCGGTCCGCTCCTGGTGCATGCGACGAGAAGCTCTCTCCAACGAAATCGTTCCAACGCGCGCAGATGCGATGAGCGCTTTCCTACGGAGACGAAACCCTCGCCTAAGCGACAGACAGGAGAAACTGCAACGTCAAGTCTAAGCCTAAGCCCTGAAAGTGCAGAGCCTGGGAGTCGGTAAAGCGGAGAGTGGGGCTTCCTGTCTGAGGCGCGGTCGCGTAAACCGCATCAAACTGTTGCACACTCCTGGATCACCGAGCCATGTTTGGCATGTGTAACCTAGGGCGCACGGAGACCACCACCGACAGTGTAGCCGCCCTGGAGTGTGAGTGGACGTGACAACCTGCCCCGGCTTCCATGCAAGTAATCCTACGGGCAGTTGCAACCTGTCCGCTTGTGCCGGGTGAAACGTCCCATGCAGTGGAAGATAAGAGAGCCAGCAGATCCGTGGCATCCGAGTGAAGGCCCCGCGCACGTTCCATTAGAAGGCACCAGAGTGTCAATCAACACCCTCCCCACAAAAGGCACACGCCTTTGCCTTTGCTGCGACACCGCCACGCCGCCATGCAAAGGCTAAGACTTGCGCCTTGCGTTGCTCCCTTGCCGCATGCTCTGTAGGGCCCTCGTCATCAGCGCCACAGTGATAGGACACCAGCCCAACCGACAGTCTTCCTCGCCAAATGGGAGTCTCATTGCAACCATGGAGTGTCCTCTACTCGGATGTGGTCACAGCCGACACTGGTCATGAATTGGTCACCCGAAGCTGAGCTTCACGTGGCAGCTTTTGTGATATTCAGCTCCCGATGTTGCTGCGGTGGGCATGACATTGAACTTGACAGAGCCGAATGGTGAGTGCGCCTGAAGCGGCTGTGGCGAAGTTGCCGCGCGGTCTTTCAATCCTTCGCAAGGCGGCGACATTGTCAGCTGGCGACGGCATGGTTTGCACTAGCCAAGGGCTGACCACAACGAGGCACTGGCCAGGTGGGCCCTGCAAGGCAATGCACTCCGACAGAAAAGGTCCCGTGCACACAGCTGCCGAGACCAGACTCGGCGCGAGAAATCCCCGCGCACGATGCACGCTGGCCCGGAGTGTCGGTGGTCTTTCGGCGATAGTGCGCATGGTAACGCGGGACGGCGATGGCATGGTTTCGGATTGCGAGCCGGTGCAAGGATGGTTTGGCCTGCAGCCGCTGCCATGATCGCAGAAGCTGCAGAGAGTGATCACTGCACGTCCCAGCTTGCACAAACCGTTGTCATGGTCGGCAGACCATGTCGGACTGCCGTTGAGCTGCCCATGCTGCTCGATGGATGAAGACGAGGTGACGTCGGTAGAAGTCTGAGGGCTGACATTGCGGTTGGAGCGCCAGGCACAGGCACCAGCAGGCAAAGGACGCGCATCGCCGCTGCTACTAGTGCGAGCACTGACGCAAGCGAGTGCCGGCATGAGGCCGAAGTGCAAGGCTAAGCATGTTGTCGGAATCGATGGTTCGAGCTTCCATGATGTGGAAGTGGCCTGCCCGCAACTTGGCAGAGAGGCGGCCCTTGCAAGATGTCACCTCCCTCTCTGCGGCCGCGAGCAGCTCAGCTGCCAACTGGTGGAACGTACGCTAGCTGTTGACAAAAAGGCCACAGCCGGCGACGACCTCTGCCAGTGAGACGCCACTGAAGGTCGGTGCGGACGACGTGCTGCACCTGTTACGCTACGCTTCCGGGCTGAGCACCTGCTCCCGCGGCACTGGTCGGGAAGCGAGAGCCCGCAGCAGTTGCCCTACCTGCCCGTCGCCCTCGAGCAGTGAAAGGCGTGCGCTCGGCACTGGAGCTTTCACGAACCTCAGCACACAGCAACAAGGTTTAGGCGAAGCAGCAGGCTGGGGCCGCAGCACCACGACGCTTCAGTCACCGTGAAGCCACGCAGGGCACAGCATGGTGCAAGTTGTGGAGAAGGAACCGCCGGAGCGCTGAGATGCACCTCGACAGGTCGCGATTTATGCCTCAGAAGCAGCCTGCACCAGCTGGGAGTAGACGTCCAGAGCATGCCACTACTGGACGTCCAAAGCTGGGCAGAAGGCAGCAAGACTTCTCCTGCTGCTGCCGCAGCTGCTTGAGCATGCTTCTGCGCCGGCGGACGCCTGCAGATCCGCACGGGCACCGCAGCTTCGGCGGAGGAACCCTGCGCCGGTCTGATTCTGCGAAACGATGGCGGCACTGTGACTCTGTGGTTTTCGAACGCCCATGCAGGGAGAGCTGCCCGTGAAGTTGTCCTGCCGCAAGCTGTCGGTGGTGAGGTTCGAGATGAGGCTCGTGTCCGCGGACGCCCGGTTTGAACATACGGTCCAGGCCAAGGCGCAGGCGACGTGCACCTGTCGCGACTTCATTGACCGAGCTAGAGGGAGCTCGCGACATCTCTTTTCGGAAGTCAGGACAGAGTGTGGGATGCAGTTGAATGCAGAGTTTCCTTGCAGCTGATGCGCTGGGGCATCCAAAGCTTCGGCGGGCCAAGCCGGTGGCTGGCAATGCGTGGCCGAAGCGAAGTCCACATTGCAGTCATGGAAAGAACGGTGAGGCCTGCAGGGTCGACGGCTTGGCGGATGATCAGCACCATGCCGGAGCAGGAAGTTTTGCCTTGCAGCATAGAAGGGGAGCTCGTCTGAAGTCGCGCAGGTCTGGCCGCGTGCCCTGCACGATGAGCCCAACACGACACTACACCGTCACCCCTTCCGACATGCAGGCTTGTCACGAAAGCCCGTACCGACAGCCAC